TGCAGCCTGAAGCCCTCAACAACAGTCTCAAACTTTGGGGGCAAGATGCTTTGGGTTTGCGGGGATTTCTGCGGGCGATTGTGGTCTCTAAGGCAGCTTTCAAGGCCCCCTTTTTGTCACACAAGGGCTCTCCGCCGAACCTCAGCGGTTCAAGCTAGTTTTCATGTCACCCGTGGGGGGGCGCGCTTCATGCAGCTCGCCTACTTTGGCTGAAGAGCGATTTGTGTTGCGGTTTTTTTAGGGTTCAGGGTTTTGGATTTCAGAATTCCGGCTAGAGGTTAATGTCCTGAAGGTGTTTGAAGAGGCGGCTTCAGGGGTCCGAAGGTTGTTGGGGTGCCGACAACCTCGAGGTTTGTGGCCGAGGCTTCGGGTTTTGGGATAAGATTGTGGAGATTGCTGAATTGCCAATGCAGGCCTGATTGCTTCGCGTCGTAAACCTGTTGGAATGGCTGTTTACGCAAACATCAGCCTTGCCACACAAGCAAGCTCCAGGTGAATTATTTGGAGCTAAAGTTTCGACTATCCTTTGAGGCCCTATGTACCCTCTTTCGGGCATTAAAAGGCACTGGAAGCCTTTGCAGTCTTTCCTTTCTATTCAGAACGTCTTGCCGCTCATTATTGAACGGCCAAACTGATGAGAATGTGTCAGAAAGTCTAGTGTAGCTTGATGTACCCTGCCATCAAAAACGTGCAGTATGCGATCTTACACTAGGACCCCACAACTTTCGCAACTGTTTAGGGCTCCCTCTTTCAAGTGCAGTTTTTCGGTACACAATCGCAAGATAGGCAGCCTTTGCAGCTGACCGCCCAGCCCCTCGAACGCGGGGCTGTCGCAAGCCCTAAGCACTGCCAGTCAAGAGTTGGGTGTGTAGTTACCCGAAACCCTAAGCCCTGAGCCCCAAGCCCTACACCCTAAACCCCAAGCTGAACCTTCCCTCCAAGTCTCCAAGCGCTTTCCCCCCCCAGGCTTTTAAGCCGCCGACGAGCACCGGGAATTCAAAGAAGTTTATCGCTGCCAGGATGCCCGGGCCCCGAACACCCACCTGCCAGGCTTCAGATGTCCAATCGCCAGCGGTTTAGGGTTTAGGGTGCAGGGTTTAGGGTTTAGGGTTTAGGGTTTAGGCTTAGGGTTTAGGGTTTAGGGGGATACTAAACTGGGACCCAGAGTAGGCCCCCTTATTCGCCCTTTGTAGGGAATAAGGTTCCCTTGTCGGCCCCTTTAAAACCTAAAACGGGCACCGTTCTTATTCCAAGGTTACTCTTGGGCCTCGACAAATTGTGGATTTCGGGAGTTCAGAGGTTTATAAGAAGAAGAGATCTAGGCTGATCTAGGCTTCAATATTCAAGGGTTTCGGGTGCCAGTCGGATGGACGAGGAGCGAAGAGTTTGGAAGCCTGTGCTCCAACCTCCCACGTTGGGATACAAGATGGTGAAAGGGGGTTGTGCCGGTTGTGCCGCCCGAGTTTCGGATGTCAGGGCTCAGGGTTTAAGGTCCACTTCCAAGCAGGTATGAGGGCTGAGGCTCCGACAAGCATCATTCCGCACGGCTGCTTCGTCTTGCTTGGTCTGTGGACCATGTTAGTAGACCAGAAAAGCAGCAAAACCCTGCGAATACCCTTTAAGGCACTACATAGGGCCCTAATTCGCACATTCCCTACTATAAGAACCAGCCAGCAGGTCTGAGAATCAGATCGACACCAACTTGTACAGCCGGCAGATCGGCACCTTCGGCATGGAGACGATGGGGAAGCTCATCCAGATGAAGGCAACGCTTCTTTAAGTAGCCCAGTAGCCCAGTGGTACCCTTGTTTCCCATTTTTTTTGGGGGGGTTCAAAGGTTCCCTTCATAAAGTACCCTTATTTCCTTTGTTTTAAGTTTTTGGTTCAAGGTTCCCTTATAAAGTTTCCAACCGCCAAGAAGGGTTCTTTAATCAAAATATTGTTCCGGGGCTACCAAGTATTTACTGGAAGGTTCCTGGGCCTGGCGCTTGAATCCGAAGCCCGAAGCTGCAAAGCTCGATCTTAAACATCCGCCTATTGCGGGAGCTCAGTTCACAACGCAGGGCGGGCACTTAGGGATTAGGGCTGCTTAACGTCTTTGGGCAAGTCAAAACCTACAAACCTCACTGGAAAGCCCACAGCCCACGGCTACGCCTCGCGCAAGGTCCTCATCTCTGGGCTGAGGGGTTTGGGGGCCGGTGGGCCCAGTACCGGAGGTGTACTTGTATCGGGGCATTTGGGTGGGGTCCCTTTTTTGAGTTTGGGATTTCTGGGGTCCAAGGTCCAAGGCTTGGAGTTAGGGAGTAGGCAGCTTGACTAGGGCTTTGGTACGGTTGAGGCTTGACAGTCTGCAGGCCGCTGATTGCATTGATGGTCTTATTGCTTTTCAAGATGGCGCCATGAAGTGTTGGCGGCCAACTGCAGGAGATGTCTCTTTTGTTGCGAAGCCCTTCGCGCATCGGAACTCGAGAACTGATACTCTGCGTCCTCTCAAAAATCCACATCACCTTCACAACCTCAAGGAGCCAAGGCCCCTGAGCTCCTGCTGTACCTCCCGCACCCTGAAGCCCTGGACTTGGCCCCAAGCAATCCTACTCCTAATCAGCAGAAGCTGGCAGAAGCTGTTCTCGACATCATTGGCACCCAATCATCGCTAGGTGGAGACCGCCAAGAATCTCATCCTCGCCGGTCCTGCCATGGTCCTTCCCCCAGCCTCCAGCACAGCTTCGCGAAGCTTCGCACAGCTTCGCACTTCGACTCAGAGCCTTACAGTTTTCACTTTCATTTCGTGGCACAGAGTCCCAGTACATGCAGCCTAGCACGCATTAATTAAAATGAAACAATAGAAACAATAAGGCCCAGACATGGCACCTGGTATGCTCTATTTAGCCACGGTTCACTGGTCGAGCAGTAATGTGGAGCTCCGAATGGTAAAGTGGTTGGCAAGAAAGCGAAATGTTGCCGGAGCCCAAAAATCAAAGTGGCGTGTATTTGTGCGAAACATTGCCGGACTCAAGGATAACGAGTAACTAGTCCCGGGCAAATCACGGCCTTGAGACATGTTCCGATCCCTCAAAGGGACGCAGTCGGCCGCAAGTCTGCAGCCTGCTGATGGCTCGGCGAGGAGTAGCCCTAAACCCCAAACCCTAAACCCTAAACCCTGAGCCCTAAACCCTAAACCCTAAACCCACAATGACAAAGTGGTCAGAATCAGGCGCCTAAACTCCCCAAAAAGACACTCCAAAGCACTGGTGCCGAGGTGATCCTTCACGACGACTCACTTACTGAACAGCTGGGGGCCCACACGGCAGTCTTGAACTTCATGAAAAGTTTTGTTGAGCAGCGAAGTTTCCGAAACCCTTCCCTGATACCCATGTGTGGGCTAACTACTGGCACCTGCGAAGAAGACCCGACTTATGGCCTGGAGCGCTTGTCTTTGCTTGCCGTGAGTTGGGGATACCCTCCAGTCACCCTTGTTTGCGGCACGAGATGTCGGCGCTCAAGTAGAGGTCCTCTTGGAATCGAAGCCATATAGCCCGGGTTGCATAGCGTCTGAGCACCGACCTGCTTCTAGCGGTGGGTATCAATGCACGTTTGAAGGCGAGACTTGGGAGCCAACTTTTACCTGACGGAGCAGGATGTGGGCAGTCGCACGCGGGCCGAGGTGGGTCTTGATGATACCGCGGCGTTGCAAGTTTTAGGCATGCTTGCGCCTAAGCTCAGACCCCGTTACCACTAGCGGCCTTAATTTGACACTTAGAACTTGTGCAACTTGGCATTGTGCCAGGTGTGGCAAGAGGTTGTTGGGGAATCTGCGAATTAGCACCTAAACCCTGAACCCTAAACCCTATGGAACCCTAAACCCTAAAGCCAAACCAGCGGGCTGTCTTGATCCTTTCAGGGGGACTTTGCTCAAGAACCTCAGCATAGCTTGGAACTACTCTCTGTGGATTCTCTTGCAAGACGTGCATCCGACACCCGAATCAGTGTGATCTTGTGAGCAGACCCATGAGAAGTTTGTACCGTGGGATCTAGAAGGAAGTGCCGGGGTCCTGGGTGTGTGCGGCGAAGCGTGCAGTCTATGGGAGTGTGCAACTTCTGTTCGGAGGCCGTAACCATTGCTCCCAAACGCTGAACGTGCTTAAAAGCTGGATCTCCTTGATGCATTGTTACGATGGGATTAGATTCCTGCTGCTTTTCGTAGGTTTTCTACCGTATCTGGTTTAACAGCAACATCAGTGACATTATTGGACTTAATTTGCAAACATTCATTTTCAAACCCCACACAAGACAAAGGACGAGGTGGAAAATCACGATATACCAAAGTGAACCTTTACAAGACGGTTGCTAGCCCAAGCATCTATTAGCCAAAGTCCTCGTCCAAGCGCCAGGCCAGCTTGAAGCAGCTTTCCGAGCTTCCACCCCAGAGATCAAGTCTAGAGAACTCTTGGAGAGCCGACAGGGGGAAGGATGCTAGGACTTCCGGACCTTCTGACGGGTTCGATGTTGAAGGATGTTTAAGGCTTTTGGCTTGGGATGCGCTGGATTCAGGGGTTTCCGGGCCGGTTTGATTCGTTTGATTCTGGGTTTCGGCGCCGGCCTCGGCAGAAGGGAGGCCGGAGTTCTTGACGCTGTGGCGCGCAGCCCTCCGAGTGGCCGAGCGCGGTGGCGCAGTGGAACAGAGCGTGTTTTACCAGTGCATTCTGGCCCTCAAACCAGCTCATGCTAAGGGTACCTCTACAAACACCCACCCTGAGCCTCAGCCCTAAATCAAAACACCCATGCCAAGGCTCAACCCTTACGTTGCCGTGCGCACGCATCAAGGGCCACAGCCCGAGGGGCCTGGCAGAAGCTGAGAAGCTGAGGGCTTGTTGGGTGGTTCAGGGTTTTGGGTTTCGGGTCCAGGGTCTAGGGGGTCTGTAGGGGTTTGAGCGCGGTGTTTTAGGGATGCTTCGAGTTTTGAAGGCTGGTCTGCACAAGCCAAGGCCTTAGGGGATACTATGGGGGTACTGCAAGCTCAAGCGCCACTTGGGAAATGCCCTCGCATGTACACCTTGGGGAGCCATCGCAAGAGCCCCATCACGAGCAGAGGGCAGTCACAAGGGTATGTATCGGTAGCGCGAGTGTGCGGGGGCTTCTGGGCAGCAACCTTCAGTCTGATCCCCAAAACGTGCCTTCAGGGAGTTGTGGCAGAAGGAGTGTCCTGCAAAGGCCGCTCACCGAAGAGCTCCTGTCAGGGCTTGCACTGGTGGTCTTTACCGAGACGAGCCAGTCAGAGCTACTCAGGCGTGAGGGGAGTTGTGGGTTTGGGCTTAGGATGCTTGGGCTTCTAGAGTTTCTAGAGCAGCATCCCCTTCTGCTGTCAGAGATGTTCTCGTGCCAGGGTCCAAGAGGCTCGATGCTAGGGTTGGTCAACTTTTTGCATCTGCAACCTGGTGTGCCGGCGATGGTGAGGGCGAAGCTGGTTGCGGCGGCAAGCAATTGGGCATGTGCTTGAAGTGGAGCTATGCACCCGATGCCCCATATCGTTTAAGATCCATCGAAAAAGAGCAGCATTTGCCTCATCAGCGGCCATCCTGGAAGGTGGAATGAAGTTTGCCGGACTCGAAACCCACCAGTTGGCTTTATTGCGGCAGATTGCTTCGGGCTGGGAGCTCAGATTCTTCTTTGAAGAGGCAGGGTTTGAGGGGCCCAAAATGCCACATCAAAGGGGAAGCAGGGTTTGGCTTCAAAAGGCCTATGCACCCTCGTTCGGGGCTCAGAGGTATATGCCATGCCCATCCTTGAACAAGAAGGGCGGAAAGGAACCCTGAAGCCGAGTCTTGGCATCAAGGTCTTCATAGGCTTCAGTTCATGCGGTCTCTTTGCCCGCTCGATTTCCGGGCCGCTTGAAGCCCGCTGTTGGTTAGGGCATCAACAGCCTCATTGGGGGCGCAGAGGAGAGGAGATCACTGCAGAAGCCTATCCCCGATTGGGAGACGAGACATCTGGGTCAGCCTTTACAAGGCCTTGTAAGGTCCCTCGTAGCAGCAGCTCAGAACGAGCCGGGACCCCAAAAAGACTGTCCCTTCCCAGGCTTGCCTCTTCCGTTTTTGTCGACTACGGGGAGTCATTCACATGCCGCGATAAGGCCGGCTTGGGGATGACCTTCTGGCAACTCTGCAAGGGCACCTGTCAAGCCCAACGCCCGAAAGTCGAAGCCACCCTGGGCCGTGAAAAGCCTTTGTCCCGAGCACCCCTGAAGTACTATAGGCGTCGGAATAAGTGCTAATAGTATTCACTGATGGTCCCTTTTAAATACTGAAATAACCCCCAAAACCTAATTATTGAGGCCCCTATATTGCTGCCCCATGCCCGCGCGAGGATGGAGAGGAGCCGCGAAGTGCCATAGTCTCGGGCGTGACACTCGAGAACCCGGGCACGGTGCCGGAGCATTTTCAGGGTTTAGGGGTTTAGGGGTTTAGGGTTTAGGGTTTAGGGTTTTAGAGGGGCGTTGCATGGACAGTGACACGTCTAGTGCAGACGAACTATCTTCTGCCACCCAAAGAGAGCTGCATTATGAACGCCAGGATGTTGCAGCCTTGGAATGCGCATCCTTCCCGCAATCAAAAAAGGACAGGCAAGAAAACTAAGCCAGCCAAAATCGACGTAAGCTGCAAAGTCCACGTGGCCTTCCACTGATCGCCGGATTTGGCACTTGAGCTCAAGACCTCATCAAAGAGCCGAGAACCTTTCGTAACCAATGCTCTGCAAAGTTAAAGTCCGGCGCCATGACCTGCAGCTTTTGTCTTGGCAGGTGCACACACACCAAGATCGGCGGCACGGCTTCAATGATGGCGACTGGGTCGTTTTCCGCGAGGTGGGTTTGTGGGGGCCTGGGCTGCTGAGTATCATCATTATTCAGTATTCATTGTCATTACAGTTGGCATAGTTATTTGTTATTGGGTTTGTGGCATGCTCTGTCTCTCTGTCTCTCTGTCTCTGTCTCTCTGTCTCTCTGTCTCTCTGTCTCTCTGTCTCTCTGTCTCTCTCTCTCTCTCTCTCTTTTTGATTGAGCCCAGATTGATTGGGGATGTCGGAAAGGAAGCGCAATGAATAGTTACTAGCTTGCATGAAGTCTTATGACAGTGTGATAGAGGCTATGAGCCTGCGGGGCAAGCACGCGGGTAAGGCTCACAAGCCCTTCTTGGACTCTTGAACCCTTGAACCTTCAACTTCTTACCAAGCGTGGCAGGTCCAGGGCATGACACAGCTCAACGATGGCAAGCCGCGGCAAATTAAGGTCACAGGACGGCTCTCCCATGCGGGGGAAGATGAAGTGGGGCAAAGTTCCTTTCTAAAGCTTGTCGGGTTTGGGGTACCAGGCTTCCAGGGTGGGTGGTGCAAAAAGCTAATTTCTAGGCTTTGAACCGAAACGCGCCACATCGAAGGTTTGTCATTGTTGTTGGAGTTGGCTGTTTGGGGGATTTTGGGTTCGCCATGCTTGTGTTTCTGGGTTGCAAGGCTTGCAAGGTGGCAGCACTGTTTGACTATGGAGAGTCGCCATTGCTTTGGAAGATTGCGCCGGAGCCACACGAAAGGCGTTTCCAGACAAGAACTGCTTTGCTCCAGGACCGTACTCATTTTCGATAGAGGACACCACGGGATATAGCGCGGCAACCTCAGACAGAAGTTCCCTGAAAACTTTGAAACTCAACTCTGGGGCCGTCTAG